CCAGATTACGCAGTTGCAGTCAAACCTTTCCTTGGGGGTTAACGTTAGTCACCCTATACTGAGAGGTTAAGACAAGTGGTTTCGCAACTTTGTTTTCATACTTACAATCTCATCTCATTATCTCAACCATATTCGCTGTTAGGTCATTAGCTCTTGATGATCAGAGTATGAAATTAGCCTTTCAACAACTCTGATTTAGGACTGGTATTGCGTATAGACGCTAATACACACAAATACACACACTCTAACTAAAGAAACAGGACCATTATGAAAGATGATTAACCAAACCACTCTATATCGATCTATCTAGGTTTTTATCTTTCTTCATTGAGTCTATATAAAAGGTAAGATAAAGCCGGATAGTGTTCTAGGCCTAGTGTTAGCATGATACTTTTACAAGAATGGCACCCAGCTCTTATGATATCCATCATAAGATTAAACTGTAGCCTTGGATCAACACTACGAGCACAGTGGGGGGATGTGGGAAGCAGTGGCGAATGTGAATTGGTCTCATCTATGTTTAAATAAACAAATAAAAAATCGTGATATTGAGGGGGATATACGAGGATATAGGCCTGGTGAAAGGCCCAACACAGAAGATATCACAACTGTTTACAGACAATTGGTCAAAGGATCTATTTCATATGTCTCTGACGATTTGTTGTGTGGTGCTAGGAATGGCAAGGCCTACTGACGATGCCGGCGATATGTCTGGGAATGTACCAAGTCCACGGTTGGACTGGAAACTATCATGCATACTATGAACTCCGGGCTAGGTGCGTTTCTCTAGCTATTCCTGGCAATATGTTTAAGTTGCGAAAACAGGGTCAAACAACTTCGATCGTGAGTAGATTCACTAGAAAACGAAAGTTGTATTTCCTCCAATACTATTTTCTATTTTTACTACTTCAACTACTAGATTTTTTTTCTTTTTGCTATCTATGACTCATTCCCAACATTTATATGCACCAAGTAATCTGCACATTGACTAGTTTATCCTCTATTGATCTTTATTCTAATTACTTCTCTATCTTTTTATTTATGTAGCAATTGTCTGAAGAAGTTGGGGAGGATGATTTAGCCCTTGGCCGTTTGTATCCTCGCCTTTCTGAGACGCGACGCGTGGCCCATAATGTAGCCCGCAAAACGGTCCTCATGGCGGCTGAAGAGGGTCGCTGTCACGCCCATATTTCAAAAGATAACGTAGATGACCTTCTAAACCAGTTTTCCTATTACCCTCCTCCATTATGAAGGCTGTAATCGGATGGATGTACATTTGTCTAAGTTTCTTTGGCCAATTCCTCTTTAAGTCTGTTCATTATGCTTACCATTATAAGTAATTCCATTTATACTCTCTTTATTCCTATTTCCATTCTTCCTGTCTCTTCTGATTAGCCTTTTCCCCAAGTCTCGTTAGTCTAATTTAGACTTTTCTATAATGATTCTCGTTCTATTTATTCATATGATTCACGCTAACCCAGATATAAATATTTTTTAGAATAAATTTGATTTTTCCTTCCTTAATTTAAAAAGGTCTTTTAAGGAATTTGTGTTCCGAGGCCAAGGGAACTGACTAGAACCTGCCTGTGCAGATCAATTTACTACTCCGATTACCTTTATCTTGCTTAAGAGTCCTATATGTCTTTTAAATTGTATGTACTGTAATTATAGGTGGAACTGTTCCATTTATGTTAATTGGTACTGCAAGAGTTTTATTGATACTCTTCATTTTTATTGAAAAAGTTTAGCCTTACAATAGCTGAGCTCTTGAAGTGAATGAGAAAACATAACCATATATTTCCATATTTCACTGGATACATGACCCAGTCACGTTTCTATTTACCTAAATCTTAAATAATTAAAATCAACTCGGCGTCTTATTGTTTCACATATACTCCATTCTCATGTATCCTATATGTATACTCTTGAATCCACTACTCGCATCTATATTCCCGCTTATACTGCTACTTTGCCAGTTTTAATAGCCAAATCATTTCTTTTGGATAAATGTTTAGATTGCACCATGTTGAAATTCCTTTTAGCTATTAGGTCAAAAGAGACTTTCTTGTCGAACAGTATTTATCAAGCATAATCGTGAAAATCGGTATTTCAGAAAAGTGTCTAAGCCTTTAATTCTCCCCCCTCCCTATTATTTACAACTCCTATATATCCCATTAATGAGACTATTTTTTTCAAAATTTCCCGTTTCGAGTAAATATATTACGATGCTCTTCTATAGACATAGACTTTGAATTACTACATCTCATGAGATTGTTGCAATATTTTATAGATGGATCTCACGAATGAGATTCTATTTTC